GCATCTCGACGTTAATATACCCATCTAGATCCTTTTGAAATATCTGCCTTGAAAGTTTCTGAAGCAATGAATAGTCAATCTTGAATTTTGTCAACTCCTCAGAGAGTTTCTCTGTACTCGTATGCATCAAAAGAAGCTTCGATAGGTAGTCTCCTCTGTCGTTCACTTGAAGTTGTATCGTAATGTAATCTTGTAGTTTTACTGTATACACGTGGGTGATGAATTTCGCCATTATCTGGTTAGGGTTGTTAAACACCTGAACAACTAGATTTTGCGTGTTCCTACACAGAGGTATAATATCCTGGAACACATCGGATCTTATGTATGCGCCACGTTGGGCATCCGTTATGAATGTGTCGACGCATGTTTGGAAGCCCTTAAAGTGAGCAAGGATTGATTCAAGTTGAATCATCTTTTCCACGTCGCCAATCTCATGGGCATTTCGAAATTCGTCAATAAGATCGCTTTCGATCTGAGAGTATTTCGTTGTTATGCGAGCTTTCGCCTCGTCGAATTTGCCTCCAGAGGGAAGTTCTTGCGCGATTAGATGCAGCTTTTGAATTAAGTCAGAATTTTCATAGATATTCTGCTTTGACAGCGGAACGTCGCTGACCTCACTCTGGAAGTCGGCGAATTTTAGCATCAACTTTTCGGCTTCCTCGGCGCGAGCTCTCGGTGTGTTCACAGACTCTAGTAGGTCACCAAGATAAACGACTTTGGCAGCTACGCGTCCTATATGTGTGTCGAGGTTTTTGTACGTGCGTTGGCTTTGCTTATTCTTGTCGAGCAGATCCTCAACACGTCTCCAATGCCTCTCCATCTCATCACTGCAGTCTTTTTCTAATCGTTGGCATCGTTTTTCCCTAAATATGTAAACAAAAGAACATAGAAACGGCGACTGATTGACCGGCAAATATTCTTTCTATATAGAGGTGTACATATCACTCGCTTTTCGCGAGGTCCGTTTCAAATCCTGGATATTATAGATTGCATGATTTCAAAAAGGGTCTGCTATTTAAATAGCGGTCGACACTCACCGATGGTCGTACTCGAGCCTTAACTGTTCAATTTCGCCCCTGAAAGCCTCTTCAAGACTTTTGGCGTCGAAACGGTCATCTTTCTGTGGACCAAGGGTTCGCCACGCAAAGCGCTCCACCAAGTCTTCGGCACAAAAGTTCTCTGCCTCGCATTCTGCTATTAGAAAACTCATCTGAGCAGCCGTGAACACAATATATTTTAGTTTATTTCTTCAAACGTCTCTTTATTATTATTATTATCTGACATTTAAGGAAAAGACCTCCCATCGGGAGCGACTACGTACAGCGATTATTGTACACGCTTAAAATAAACGCGAAGGCACCTTATTATCACTATTTTTTATTAATAGAACTCATACTTAGTATCTGTTCTTCTTTTTCAATATAGAAATATTTTCAAATGCTAATCGTTTAAAAAATAGTAAATAGTTAGATTCACAATACATATAGCTATAATTAAAAAAAAAAATTGACTCGATTCAATAAAGTTCGTATGATAAACGTTCAGTAAAGGCGTAGAGCGTGTTGTGTAGTAAACAATTATAGTACATACTGTTTACATATCAGGTCATATAAGTCGAAATGGGATTTTGATAGGCCAGAGTTTCCTACTAGCCCTAAAGCCTCGTCTGAGCTTAGGCGTAAGCTATTTTGAGATAACCTAAGACGATGTGAATTGTTGTCCAATAATAATTTACAATGCAAGATATGTTGCAATCAATAATAGTGAGCGCTACAATGTTTGGAGGTAGCTGTGGCTGAAAACAAAAACTAAATTTTCAATAATTAGGTTATGTAATAGGGTGTATATATATGTATGTATGATCCCTTTTAGCCATTTGTCTCGGAAAAAGGTTTCTTTAATTAGTGACAACTTTATGTATTTGGATTAATTCATTACAAAAAATGATAATTTGATCTAAAAATCTCCACTCTGGCGTTTTTTCTATTTCTGCTCACGCTGTTCATATCGACAGAGATAGAATTTATCTCATGGCTATAGTTAGTATGCTTTGGCATTCAGTATCTACTATCCTAGCAGTGCATACAGTAGGATGGAAGGTTTGATATGCAAGCGGGCCGGTAGAAAACTATGATTTTGGATATACGGGACGACCAGGGATACTGCGTGGAAACCTATACCTCACTTCCAACTTGTATCGTACCAACAAACACCTCAGTTGTAGAAGTATTCACGACGAAGATAACTGAAATAAAAGTTAGATTCTTGGTAGATATTATGAATTCAGCGAAGGGAAAGTAAATACTCAGCACGTTTTTAGTCAGAACAGAGGTCAAAGCGGGTGTAAATAAATACTTAAACAAAAAGAGAAGTCCATATTGAATGAACTGGGGCAAGACTGTATAAAACCTATAACCGTCTCAGTATTTTCGTGCAATTAAAATCATGCAACGTTCTTTTTTACACACAGAAAAGGTGAAGGTAAGGGCAAACAGATCATGGTGGGATCACGAGTGCCCAAGGAGTATGCCCCGATAGTATCAAGCAACAAAATTAGCTCTAGCTTATTCGAAGGTGAACGCATATCGCGCTGCTTAAAGCTCATTACAGGCCTACATTAAATTTACCAGTTGTTTATCGATTTGGTCGAAACTTTAACGAACATTAGCATTCTTGCCAAAGTGTGGTTTTTAAGCCTCAGTGTCGTCGGCTTTCTGGTGTATACTGTACCTTTAATATACCTCCACAAGAAAACTTATTGTTGTCAGATCCGGGAACGGGCAAATTTGCCTATAAGGGCTTCTTCCAGTTCACCTGTTTGTTAGGTTCTCATTAAGATATGGTCTCACATCACAGTCATAGTATGTAACAGCTCAGTTCTGTTGGAAATAAAGTTTGCCATTTGGATCAAAGTCTTTCTGTATGCTTAGGAATACAAATTGTCGTACTAAACTCAGGTGGGTGGCATAAGTTTGTATTGTCAAAGGAGAAGGAACCCAACTATTTGCGTGAGATGCTGCATCAGACTGTAACTTCTAGTAAATTTACGTGGTGTCTTTGCGCAACATGATGATTTACAGTTGTCTGGTATATTATGTTGATGAATTCAATTTAAACGTAGCCTCATCCCTCTAAACAACCTTTGCTGAAAATTGGAACTTTACATTTTTGCAAGGGTCATTTGCAATGTTATTTTCTCCGGCCCGGATGAAAATTGATGAAATAGCCAAACTTTCAAATAAAACGTTGCACATATTTGGAAATCGCCAAGCGTGAACTTGTTCGGAGCGCATATCGAAGAGAGAACATTCAAGACTCTCGGGTTTCTTCCATTGATTTAAAGCCCATAAAGCCTTCTGTTGTAAACGTCACTGAGCCAACTGGAGAAACTACTTAACGGCACCTCGAATCGATAGGATCAAACTTGCCTTCCTAAAAGGAATTTTAGATTTTCACCTGTCCGCCAAAAATCGACTCGGTTCCACGCATGCATATACGCCGTTCTTCATTGAGTAACTTAGGTCAGAAACAGCATGTTCTTTCTGAGGTAAAACGAAATAATTTATTAGGTTTCACGAAGAAAAATTTGTCGATTTGAGCTCGGCATTTTCGACACGAAAGCAATGAAGAGTCATGCATGGAGATATGCATTTAAAGCCAAGTGCCACATACAAACCAGGTACCCAGCCAATGACTTACACCATTTACTTGGCACAATCGAAGATTTCCTACCGCATAGAAAAGAGTTTGCATAATAAATTACTGATAAGATTAACAATAATCAGTTTTCAATATCCTTTCTAAGTGGTTGTACCGCGTGAATTGTCGATTTTAAAAGAGCGTATTTTCGCAATTTCACGTGAAAGTAAATTGATTATCGTATTAACAGGGTGGGAGCAGATAGCCCGTGTACATCAAAAATAGTCAACATGTTTATCAAGTACATGAATCGATGCGTACAGCAACGCTATGGGTGCATTTTTCATAACCAGTTTACTTTTCATATAAATTAAGCAAAATGTATATATATAAAGGGAAATAATATTGAGCACGTGCGCACAAAGTGTCAGAACCATTGATATTATATATAATCTGAAAATATTATGGTGGTAAGAGAGCTTTGCAATTTAGCTTACTAGTTACTTCGATGATCAAATTTTGTTATATTAACTGTTATCGTATTTATCGCACAAAGCAGACGCACACACCAGGACTATTGCGTTTGTATATATATATATATATATATATATATATATATATATATATATATAAAAATCGTGCAAAATTGCTCAAACAGGAATGCCCACCTATTTGAACTTGCTTAATTTACATCGCTTTAGTGCTTCGTTTATTACTGCAAAACGATCCCTTATTATTATTATTATGTTTATAGAACGAGCGGACTTAAGCCGCATTATACTAAACTAATGCTCAATTTGTAGATACCCAGTCTATAGTTTTCACGAATGGGCGTATTTTCCATTGCTTTAGCTCGTTCTGCTTTTCTTCCTACCATTACAGTGTACTAGCATCTAAGGGAATCCGAATTATATCGTAATCACAACTTGGTTACTCACTAAGCTATTATTGACATGAAAGAGTCATAAACCTTATTGTTTTGCTGTTGATGAAGATGATTCCTCGACGACAATCGGTTACGGCGAGTAATTCGTTAGAAACGTTTTTTTTTTTTTCGGTGTGGGGTCACTCCTTGCGGCTAATGACTAATAAATACATTACAGATGCACTGCCGCCGCACACAGGCAGGCATATGAAACACATACATAGACACAGGTTGCCGAAACCTCAATAACAATTGTTCACTAGTATACTCCTATCTACTCGACCTTGCTGTAGGGAGCACTTCTGTAGTCTTCGTTACCCCAGCTTGAATCAGTTTTCTTTAATTTTCCTTTCTAATCGGTAACCAATAATTG